GGGTGTCCCACACCTTTAACGTTTCAGTTAAATGTGAGATTATGGGCTGATGGATCCCGTTTTGTTTCAGAGTTGATGAGATGAAGATTCATGGTCGCTCCCCTTCGCCTCTCAGGTACAACCTTCACCTGCTCCTTTGGATGGGTTTTATCAGGAACTCGAGAAGGTGTTTATCCTAAATACGTCTGTGTTCAGGTTATCCGTGGGGGCGGGTCAGGGTCCCACGCCCATCCTCAAGTCCTCCAAGTTCCTGGCATCCTCCGCTTCTGCTGCTGCCAAAAGGATCGGGAGGAACTCCTCATCTACAGCGTCAAACATCAGAAGGTCTGAGTTTCATCTCTTCTTCATTAGTCTCCGTAGGTCACACGTGTTCTTGTTAGGGTTGTCACGGTAACCGGTGTAGCGGTAAACCCCGGTAAAAAAGTTGACAATAATAATAACCGTCTTGTTTTTAATAACTTATATTATCTCGGTGGGTTACCGTGGCTGCGGTGTAGGCGCGGTGACCCTTACCAGCCACCGTATCATCTGCTGAAGTTGCCGGCGGCACATGCGCACTTTGTTGTTTACAACCAAAACTTTCTTGAAGCTAAAGCTGAAATAATGGTCAAAGGAGGAGACGGCAGCGCTCAGGAGGACATTTATTATCCCTCAAAGAAGACAAAGTGGGAAGTACGGGCATCTTTTGGATATTTGAAGAATGCCGAGGGAGTTTATGGAAGACGGCTATCCTGTTTGCAGCACGAGCAGAAAAAGTGTCTGTGAAAGGCAGCAACGCTTCAAATCTCATGACACATCTGCGTGACCATCACCCACAACTCTACAGTCAACGCAAGGCAAGCTAACGTTAGCGTTTTAGCTAAAATGCGTGATCCGAGGATTTGGGTTGAGGGAGAATGCAACGAGTCGCTATATAAAGCAGCCGCAGCGCCGCTACCTGCATATAAACCGTGTCGCGGACACCGCCATGTTGAAATGACGCTATGCATTACGGGGCTCCCAGGGGCAGATAAGAGTTGGTCTCTCTCCGAGAATAATTATGAATTTAACAACGATTACTGCCTGATGACATTTTCCCACATCTGCAAAGCTCACTGGAAGGACACAAACCGAGGACAATATTCTCCTGATATAGGGTTTATTACTCAAGTAAGGGTAAAAAAGTATCTGAATAGAAGGCTACTTGAGTACTGAGTATCATCTGAACTAATATATTTAAAATGATGACATCAAACAGACATAAAATAAGAAGTTATGGGCAAATATTGGTATTTTAAAGACTAAAGGGGAAAAATGTAAACAAATAAACAACTTAATTACAAAATAACACATTTTAGGCTAAATTTAGACACAAACTGAGGACAATATTTCCTGATATAGGGTTTATGTAGTTGTCTGCAAATGTAACACGTTTATAAAAAATACCACGAGAATACCGAAAACGGGATAATTTTGGTCACAATAACCGTGAGGTTACATTTTCTCAACGTGACGACCCTAGGTCTCGAGTTCGTTTAGTCCCAAAATGTTTCCTCATTTTTCGCCTTTATGTTATTCCCAGTTATCTCTCCAACTCCTCCCAAAGCCGTCTCCCATTTTTCTACCTTGATTCTAAACGGAGAACGTTTCAGCGTTCCCGTTCCACGACAACGAGGCCTCAAATCCCAGAATTCTTTAGTCTCCAGCAGCTCAGTGAGGAGCTGGGCTTAAACGTAGGACACATAGAAAATTCCCTATAGAGGTTCATGGTTCATCATCATTAGAACATGGAAGTTATGGTTCCCAACGATTCTGTAGGTCATCAGAACAAAGTTTCATAATCGTTATAAATGATAAAGTAGTTTAAAGACGCGTAGTTGCAGCTGTAGTTTTAGCTGACTGCATCAAAGTGGTGTGTGTTTGTTTGTTTTTGTTGACGTGTTTAATGCTCTTCCTGTCTGCCCCGCCCCCCCCCCCACCCCACCCTGCTGACATCAGCTCAGCTTTTGGCTCCCGATTGGCCAGCTCTCTCAGCGACCTCTACACTACCGACATGGAGGAGAATGAGAAGACTTTGTACGCTTCTGTCCCTCCCTCCTCTTCCTCCACAATCTCTATAGGCCCCGCCCCCTCACCTCTGACCCCGCCCCCCCTTGCTTGCTATGGTAACGGACCTCGCGGTTTGCAACATGAAGTCAACAACAACAACAGTGTCCTGTTCAGCAGTTCTGTGGCGCCACCTGTAGGCAAAGGTTTTATCCGACCAGCTCATCAGGATCCCTACAGGAGCTACGGGCCCTACAGCGCCACCAAGGGCCCCTCAGGACGCTACCTGAGCCGCTCCATACCTGTAAGTCCTCTGACACAGCAGCAGCTCAACTCCGCCCCTTTTGAATGATTGATTCTTCCTGTTCCGATGTCAGGAACGCTCTGGATGCAGCTACTCTTACATATCGCACTACAAAACTGAATAAGTGGTTTTAGATGACCGTGACCTGTCAGCCAATGAGAGCACAGCTCTGTTAAACCTGCGTCCATCGTGTTCCTGACCTCCCACCTGGTTTCTGACCTCTGAACTAACAAAAAGACGAGGTGTAAAGTAGACAAACACCTACATTAACATTAACAACAACATACACTCACTGGCCACTTTATTGGGTACACCATGCTAGTACCGGGTTGGACCCCTTTTGCCTTCAGAACTGCCTTCATCCTTCGTGGTTTAGATTCAACAAGGTACTGGAAACCTTCCTCACATTTTGGTCCACATTGACATGATGGCGTCACACAGTTGATGTTGATTGGCTGCACATCAGTGATGCTGATCTTGCGTTCCACCACATCCCACAGGTGCTCTATCAGGCTGAGATCTGGTGACTGTGGAGGCCATTAGAGTACAGTGAACTTATTATGTTCAAGAAACCCGTCTGAGATGATTCCAGCTTTATGACATGGCGCGTTATCCTGCTGGAAGTAGCCGTCAGAAGATGGTTATACCGTGGTCATAAAGGGATGGACATGGTCGGCAACAGTACTCCGGTAGGCTGTGGCGTTGCAACCATGATCAGGTAGTACTAAACGTCCCTCACACCATTACACCTCCACCTGCCTGAACCATTGATACAAGGCAGGATGGATCCATGCTTTCAACGCCAAATTCTGACCCTACCATCCGGATGTCGCAGCAGAAATCGGAACTAATCAGACCAGGAAGCAATGGTGTGGTCTTCTGCTGCTGTAGCCCATCTGCATACCTTGGCTGTAACCAGGTGAGTTGCTGTTGCCGTTCTACCAGCTCGAACCGGTCTGGCCATTCTGCTCTGACCTCTGGCATCAACGAGGCATCTTCACCCACAGAACTGCCGCTCGCTGGACGTCTTCACTTCAAACCGTTCTCTGTAAACCCTAGAGATGGTTGTGTGTGTCGATCCCAGAAGATCAGCAGTTTCTGAATCACTCAGACCAACCACGCCACGTTCAAAGTCGCTTACATCACCTTTCTTCCCCGTTCTGAAGCTCGGTTTGAACCGCAGCGGATTGTCTAGACCAAGTCAACAAGCCTAAATGCACTGAGCTGCCACCATGTGATTGGCTGATCAGTAATCCGTGTTAAAGAGCTGTTAGACAGGTGTGCCCAATAAAGTGGCCAGTGAGTGTATACAACACAAACAGGAATGATGTAAACAACAACATTAACAACATAAACAACCGCAGCTTTCCTAACTCCCTCTGCCTCAGACGTTGTTTTTCACCTGTTTCCTTAAACCTGCTGAAGGTGACATCACTAACTTCTCCTTGGCGGCACTAACCCACTAACCTGTGGCTGCTGCTGAGCCGAGGAACCCGCTGAGACTCCAGCTCCTCTCCAACAAAACCCAGTTAATCCACGGTAATCTGGATTATCTGAGATCCACCACAGTCCCGGGGAGGGGGTGTAGGAGCCCCCGCATGATCCCGTCTGTGGGGGTGTGAGCCGCCGCTGAAGGAATCATCAGATCAACATCAGCTCCAGTGAAGATGGCTACAAGTCAGTAACGTCCTACAGACGAGTCTACACCTCTCCTGCAGGATGATCCAACAAACTCAGACCTTCAGTCGAGGGTGAAGCTGGAATATGGACCAGAATGTCCAGCGTGCATTCTGAACCAGTGAGGATGGAGCCAAGTCAGGAAGAGCCGCTCCAAGACTCCCAGTTGATCTCCAATCCTCTCCTCTGAACTTGGGAGTCGAGCCGCTGCTCCTCCGCGTCTAGAGGAGCTGTGGTGGTTCAGGAAGTAGGTCGGGGCGCTTCCCGGACATCTCCAGGTGGAGGTGTTTCCAGCAGATCCTGCTAAGAGGACACCTTGGGTGGATTCAGGTCACACTGGAGGGGTCACATTCCAGTCTGGTCCAAAGTCTCCCTGATGGCCCACCAGAGCAGCAGGAGGGGGCGGGGGCGCGAACGGAAACCCGCATCTAGAACATTTAAAGAAAACGAAGACGTTTCGGTCTGAAAGGAAGCCTTTGTGGTGGCCATGTTTGATCACCAGACCAGACCCGGTCCAGCTGTTCAGGAGGACGGTGTTTTGGTTTGATGCAGAAAACCACAACAAACTGCTGCGACTCCCGCTTATAGACGTAACGTCGGTTTACACGACAGTTTCCTGGATCGGTGTTCCGGTCTGCGGGAGAAAATGGAAACGGGATTCGGATGAAGCAGGATTCTGGTTGGCTGTGCTCTAGCGCCGACTCTAAAGGTGTTTCTGTTTGTTTCCAGTCTCTTCGCTCCGAGTACATCCAGTACTAAACCCACAGACCGCAGCAGAAGACTCGCTACCCACAAGCCCCAGCCCGCCGCCCAGAGTCCTCCGGCGTCCAAACCAAACCAGCACAAGCTGGCTCCTCTGGACTGAGCCTGCTCTCTGTTCATATGTAAATGATCTGTATGTAAATATGTTGTAATCTACACGCGTGTTCGGCTCCAGGTGCAGATTTTATAACTCTTATTGGTCTCAGAAGAAGAGGGTATATTTTTGTCTTACCGGTTTAAAGTATTCTTGCTTTGGGAAACTGAAGTGTCAGCTGTTGTCATGGTTACAGACAGTATTTGACTCCTGTCCGACCGCGTTAATCAGTGTTTTGCAAAATAACGGTGATGGGGGGGGGGGGGGGGGGGGTCTGCAGCGCCACCTTAAAACAGCTGTTAGACGGGACGTGTTGGTGTCAAGAGCCAGTAGCTCTAGTTCCACTGACACAAGAATAACTGTTAGGAGCTTATCTTCATCCCAGGAAAGCCAACAAGTCATTAATCAATTCAAACAGGAGCAAAAACTCCAAACTCAACTTTTTAAACTTCATTTTTAACCTTCTTCCTGTTGGCTCCAGCACACCTTCAGGCTTCAGAGCAGCAGCTTTTCTGCTCAAGTCGTATTTCTTGTTTCTTTGCTGTCAGACTGAAGAACGAGTCAGTAGCAGCCTTCAGGGGGCGCTAGAGACAACCACCTCGCTTTTATTCTTAATCACAGTTTGCTTAGACCAGCGAAGTTCCTTAGGTTCACTTTTATTTATGTTCCACAAGTTCTGCAAACGGTTCATGTGCAGTAAACACGGGTCGCTCCACTGGTACCACGGGTCGCTCCACGGTACCACGGGTCGCTCCACTGGTACCACGGGTCGCTCCACTGGTACCACGGGTCGCTCCACGGTACCACGGGTCGCTCCACTGGTACCACGGGTCGCTCCACTGGTACCACGGGTCGCTCCACTGGTACCACGGGTCGCTCCACGGTACCACGGGTCGCTCCACTGGTACCACGGGTCGCTCCACGGTACCACGGGTCGCTCCACTGGTACCACGGGTCGCTCCACGGTACCACGGGTCGCTCCACTGGTACCACGGGTCGCTCCACTGGTACCACGGGTCGTACCACGAGTTATGCTAAAGTTAAAGTCCCACTAGTTGTCACACACACACACACACACACACACACACACACACTGGTGTGTGAATGCTGTTCTCTGCAGGTGACCCGTCCCCTGGGGAAACGGTGAGCTGCAGACAGCCGTGCTCAGGAACCGTTTGGTGGTTTAATCCCAGTCCAACCCTTAAGGCTGAGTGTCAAGTGGGGAGGCATTGGGACCCGTTTTAAAAGTCTTTGGTACAACCCGACCGTGGATTTGAACCCACAATCTCCTAGTCTCAGGGCAGGCACTCATGCCTCTGGGCCACTGAGCTGGTGGTTGATGGTTTGACCTTTGACCTGCTGCAGATGAACTTCAGGACTCAGGAGCATCATGTTTCCTGTCCTGTGTTTTAACTGCATCGGTCAGGCGACGCCATCAGAACTAGATGTGTCGGATCAGAACTTCGCACCTGAACGATGAAGGACAACGAGGGCGTGTTTCCATCCGATTCGACTCAAAGTGCCTTTTTACAGCCTGTGTTGGGACGAGGAGCTGGTGAAGAAGAGAAGATTTGACCTGAAGCTGAAACATCTGATCTGTTTTACGTGACTCTGAAACATAGAGTGACTTAGGTCTGTTCGATCTGTGGCTTTTAGCTGACAGCAGAGTTTCTATTTGAATAAAAACAGGAAGTAAAAATCTTCTTTTGACTCTTTTTGTTGCTTTTCCCACCCTACTCTAGCATGGACTGGGAAACAACACTTTAGTTTATAAAAATCTGTTACAGTTTCTCTGCTACTAATGAGAATGCAGGGCAAATGATTAGAAATGATGATGAATAAACTGATCAAACGTGATCTTAGATGTTATTAAGAGCCTAATTAAGTGTATTAGAAAAATGATGTCTGGGTTTATAAAATTATCTGGCTGAATTTTTTAAGTTTTAACAATTTATCTAATTAATAATAACCCATCCAACACCGTTGTGACGAGCCTACGTTACCAGTGCGGTGGAAGTCCTCTGGAGCTCCGGTCGGCTAGCGAAGCCGCCTCGGCGTCGTAGGTCCCTTCAGATTACCCACAGCTGGATGAAGGGATACCTCCCTGGGGCGTTTTGCAGGTTAAACACATAATGGTTGATTCTGTGAAGGATGGTTCTTGCACCGCTAAAATTATTCCACAGAACAAACTGGTTTGATTCCCCAACGGCTGGTAATTTCGCATAAGCTGGAGCTTTGGCTGGAGCTGCCGAATAGAGGACCTGTTTACTCTTTTAAGGGGTTGTTTATAAATTTTGGACCAACCAGACGCCAGAGAGTGTAGGGGGCGTTTACCAAGAATTCTCAGACGTCAAACTTTATTCTCAGAAACTTATGAAAGGCTTATTTCACTTCATATGTGAAGTAAAAGTGGTAAACAGTCATCTGTTAATATCCTGATTAATATGTGACATAACTGATAATATATCATTAAACCAAGTAGACTCGTGGGGTGAATTTAGGATCTGAGAAAAGGCATTTCAAGAATAAACATTTATGTTGATTCATTCATTACTGCGAAGCAGTCAAGACGTTAAGTCACTTTAGATAAAACATTCATTGCAGATAAGAGTACTATATGGTTGTAATTAACCTGTAAAGGGAGGAATTCATGTGAGACCAAATAAGATCATTTTACTGAAGGAAAGAGTCGCCTTCTGCAGGAGAAGGAAATCCCACAAACCTGTTTAACGTGGGATTTCAATGGCACGTCCTGGTCAAAGTTGACACCAAGTTTCTTTAATTTGTTCTTGGAAGCTAAATGCCGTTCAGATCAGCTAACTAAGCAGTTTCTTTTTTCTGAATTTTTAGAATTTCCTTCCACAGAATTGCCCTGGAAATTGCCTCTTTTAGTTTGATAGGAGATCTTGGTTTAAGTCCCTATGAATGTTCAGTCCAGTTTTCCTTGAGAGCATCTCTAGACGCCGCCCCTCAGATTTAAGTTGCCGTAATTCAGTTGTATACCAAGGAGTGGGGTTAGAAAAAGTAACGGTCTGAGGTCTCAGGGGTGCCGGCTAGGGCTGCGTTGAAAAAAATCGATGATCCGATTCTGAATCGATTCTCGTACATATACATAGGAATCGATTCTCGTACATATACATAGGAATCGATTCTCGTACATATACATAGGAATCGATTCTCGTACATATACATAGGAATCGATTCTCGTACATATACATAGGAATCGATTCTCGTACATATACATAGGAATCGATTCTCGTACATATACATAGGAATCGATTCTCGTACATATACATAGGAATCGATTCTCGTACATATACATAGGAATCGATTCTCGTACATATACATAGGAATCGATTCTCGTACATATACATAGGAATCGATTCTCGTACATATACATAGGAATCGATTCTCGTACATATACATAGGAATCGATTCTCGTACATATACATAGGAATCGATTCTCGTACATATACATAGGAATCGATTCTCGTACATATACATAGGAATCGATTCTCGTACATATACATAGGAATCGATTCGTACGTCCAAAGATCGATTTAACCCTGTAAGCAGCAGCAAAATTGCTACAAGTGTCATTGCTGACTTTAATGAACCACAGCTGCAAATGTGATCCCTCATGAAGTTACTACTGTACACCAGAAGATGGCGGAGGTGTCCATCTTCAGTAGTCTGAGCGGCACTTGTGTTTATATGGAAAGTTTCTGAGTCTTTAGAGCTTGAAATCCGCCTCCCGCCGGGAGGATCCCGGTTATGGGAGAAGACAAGAGGTCTTTGGTGATGACCGACTCTGATTCAGAAGAAGAATATTGTTTCTCTGAAGATATTCACTCATCCAGTCAGAGTGGCGCTGCTGAGTAGAGCAACAGAGTCTGTGCTTGACGTGAAGAAAGTAAGGCTAAAGGAACGTAAACGTTCCACACGCCGATTCTGAAGCCTTCCCACCGTGTTCAGGACATGGTGGATTTAGAAAGGACAGTAAAAACACCGCTAGTGATGACAGACGTAGCGGGAATGTTAAAAAAGCCATCAAAACGGCAGACACATTAAAGAGCAAGTTACCCCCTACAATAAACTTACTTCACTCCCACTTCATGTTTGAAAAATGCAACAAATGCTGTTGCTTGGCAGACCGAGAAGGCGGAGCTGCTAACCAATACACACACACACACAGGCTCACCATGGCATTATGACATCATAATATACCAGATGACATCATAGCATACCTCTTAGCCAATAGCGGTGGCAGATTGAAATTCAAATCAGTGTAGAATTTTTCCCTGACGACGGCGCAACACTGACAGTTTTAGGCAGAATATTTGAATTTTAACCAAGATGCACTGAAGTGCCAAATTATTGACGACACGTGTCTGCAGCACGATTAGACACTCCTTTATGTTTTATCAGCAAAAAAAAAAAGTGATTTGGGGGTGACTTGCTCTTTAAGTATGGAAGTAAGAGTGCCACATAATCATATGTATCCCAGCCATCTGTGGACCAGACATGGACCTTTTCATGGAGCAAACGATCATTACATTCAAGGGAAAGTCAACCCCGAAGAGGTTCGAGCTTAATGAAGTCCGCTTGAATGTTGCTGAATATAAATAACTGCTTGAGTCTTGAGTGAGGCCACTATAAATATCAAAAAAGAAGTGTGTGTGTGTGTGCTGCTACAGCTTTTGGATGAATCTTGAAGTGTTATTTTAATAAAGCCCTAGGTTCGTGCTCCAACAGCAGTCCACTGAAGCGGTTATCGACACTCCTCTCTTCCTCTGTTGGCTGTCATGGGTCTGTTTGCTACTTCTGCCTGACAGCATGTTTATGAAGACCACAATTCTGAGAGAAGGATTGGGCCATACGGCCATTTTAAATAGCCAATATTTCATGAATTTGTTGTTGAATGTTAATAGTGTTAATATTCTACACAACCGCATAGTTGTGTAATTAGGGTAACAGCAGAAAAAGAAGAGTCTAAAGTTTAAACCTTAATCGAATCACCACAGGGACACTAAAGGTTAATACTTAGCACAAGCACCTTTGTGCTCCCTAACACAAATACTCGCACAACCCCGCTGCACGCACAAACCAAACATAGATCCCTTAGGCTGGTCGCTATA